ATATTAAAAATAAAATGTTAATAAGCCACAATAACATTGACAAAAGTATATGAAAATCGTTTTATCGGTATGAGATGTTAAGAAGACCCATGCTGTAAAATAAAAAACAATGTCTAAGAAAAGGACAAGAGAATCGTGGTCTTAGATGCCTAGTCCAACGCCTATGTTGTGCCATAGTGCTTGCCTGTCATTAACCTCCATGATGGAGCTACTCTAGGTAGCATTGCTGCAGAGCTCTTTTTTAAATTTATTATCAAAAGCAATTAACTTGTTCACATCATCTCTGGGGACAAAAGGTTTAGTGGGAATTTGGTTCCTAGTTTCTAGATATTCCGGGATGATAAGACCATTCCCCTGTCGAAAACATTTTTGAAAAGTTCAGCGAATCTCGCTTGACTGCCATGGTTAGAGGTCGAGGTCGCCCAATACGCCACTACTGATCGTATTATCATAGAGTACATCCATCCGTCTTACGATCTTTGGCTTACACCCGCAGGACTTTCCTGCTGCATGATTGTAATCCATTAGCGCCCTAGTGGTTTTTGATCTAGTTGCGTCAACGTGAGCCTTCCACAGAAGCTTAGTTCCCAAGATACTTCCTTCACCTCAGTGGGGTCTTCGACTACGACCTTATTCACTGTTATGTTCCCCAAAGCTGGAATATTTCTTCTTCTGTTAAAGGGGACGATAGCCTTCCTGGAGTGATTGAGATTTAGGACCAATCTGGCGCACTATCCCTTCGTTAAATTAAGTTCTCTTTGTAAGATGTGGAAAAGATGCTGTCGAACTTCTTTCTGGAAATTATAAATATGACATCCGCACACCTCTGACAGCTGGTGCCCTTGTCATAGAGGATTTGTAGAAGTTAGACAGTTACCAAGCTCCACAGAACACCGGCGTCTAGCTATCCATCTGTAACCGAAAGGCACCTACACGTGATGTGTTGCCGAAGTCTCTCTCAATATCGCTGAGCTCAGTTTCTTCACACTCAAAGACACTTTATGCCTCCGTAGTCAACGAGTACAAACCAGAGTCCATGGAGCTTCCCACCTTATACGCATGCTGTTTGGGATGAAATATTTATGAATACATACATCCCAAGGACTATAGTCATGTATGTGTTTGCGGCAAATAACAGTTTAAATCTAGAGAGGGACTTTGCTGTAATGAAGCATCAAGAAATGTGTTTCAGATATTTTTTGTGGCAGATTTAGGACATTTTCATGCTCGAACATTTTGCTCTTCCATATATCCTTTCATCTTTTTATTAGCTATTGTAACAAAACACTTCCATACAACAGCATGTGTCCACATTGTCATTGGCATAAATTTTAAATTTCAACACAGAAGAAAATCACTGACATAAACCACTTGCTGTCCAAAGGAGAAAAACGAGGAAACTAAGCGAAAAGCATTTGTTCTACATGCGCTCAATTCGTACCTTAGTTTGTTCACATATTCATACATATGTATGTATTTACATTAGGGTGGCCCTCAAAGATCAAATGAACGATTTTTTTCAGTCTCACCCCCTCAATCGGTAATATCACAGTCACAGATATCACATATAAATTTTGACTCCGATTGGAGTTGGTTTAGGCGTATCAGAAAGGGGTCAAAGGCAAGAAGCCTCTATGGAGACACAAGAAATTTAAAATATTTTCTTCATTTAATACCCAAAAGTGATACTACTAAAGTCGAAGGTAACACATATAAATTTTGGTTCCGATTACAGTCGGTTAAGACGTTTTCATAGGGTAATCTGAAGTTGGATCCCTGTGCGGCACGCCTTAAGCGACTCCAATCGGAGCCAAAATTTTGTGATATCTTCGACTGTAGTAGCATCGATTTTTGGTATTAGGTGAAAAAAATAATAATTTTAATATTTTGAGTTTTCGAAGAGGAATCTGAACTTTGCTCCCCATGCGACACGCCTTGACCGACTCCAATTGGGGCCAAAATTTATACATATGTGATATCTTCGACTATAGTGACATCGGCGCAGGGGTTGAGGCTTAGGAAATCTGATGCAAAAATTTGCTTCCTACATTTAAGGACCTCCCCAATGTGCATAGTTACATACTAATAAGTAAGTATGTATACAAATATGTCTGTACTCGAACAGTTGTGAATCTGTGGTTAATTTAGTGACACATGCCAAAGTGACATTAATGACACCCGTTTCACAGGAGCAGCGGTAACGACCTACAATGTCTACACGAGTACCACCAAATAACAACCAGAAGTCTGTTTAAAGGAGAGCTGAAAGTATGTACAAAGAACGCAACAGCTAATTTCACACAAATTTGTAACAAATTGTTGAAAATTTGTTTTTCCGCCGTTGACTGCGTGGAAATTGACGCTGTTTCAGCAAGCTGAGCGACAACATGTGGAAAAGCAATAAATTTTAAAATGCACTTGAATATTTCGTAAGAAGACATTCAGTGCTATGGTTGTTGGGAGAGGGAGAATAGAGAAATTTGTTGGTTTGGCATTTTTGACTTTCATGGGAGTTTTTCAAGCGCTTGCCATGTAAATATTTAGTTAGCAATGTGCATTATTTTATAAGCAATAAATTTTAGGCGAATCAATAAATTTAGTGTTTGTTAATTGATAATTTGTTAATTGTCTAGGTGCCAAGCATAACCGCAAAGGTCGTTAAGCGATATGGCTCATTTAACGGTGGGCGGGAAAGAAATTAGAAGGTTTTCCTGGGAAATGTATGTATGCATGCAGATATGGACGTTAATGGATAGAAAAATTGCTCATAAACTAAAAATGGCCTGACCAAGCATAATTTATGACGTTGCTTATTGAATAAGACATGATTATAATTTAATTTACGTAGTCAACTGAAAAATACAAGCGCCATAGGAGTGTTTCCCTTTGAGTCATCTCTCAATGCTCATTATATTAGCTGTTGCTATGCCCAATTTTCAAGAAAATGAGTAATGCATAATGCACACATACTCGTATAGTATAAAATTACCCCTGGTAGGACCAAGGTTCGATCCATAAGCAGCACCTAAAAAAGTTTTTGATGTGTGAACATTCTAGCTCTTGGCATGGGTAAAATTTGCGCTATCCCAGCAGAAAATTTGTAACTTCTTCTTGTGTAACCCAGCAGAAAATCTGAAATTGCTTTTTATATCAACAAATAAACATTTCTGGATTATTTTAGGACCATGTCGAGACTAGTTAACGATTACTTTAAGCCCGTTTCAGGACTAGTTTGGGACTATTTCAGCACAAATTTGGCATAGTTCCCGACTATTTGAGGGCTACTGTGGCGGTAATTCTGGAACGATTCGAGACTTAGTAGTTCATTTCACCAACATTTCGAGACTAGTTCGTGATCATTTGGGGGTAGTCCAGGTCCAATTGGGGACACTAGTTCAGTCTAATTTAGGACCCTTTTTGAACTAGTTCGGGATCATTTTTGGACTAATAAAACCCATTTTGAGACGTTTCGAGACTTTTTCTAAATCCTTTATGCATAAGCTTACGACTTTCTCGACGTTTCGGAACCAGTTCAGGACTATTTTAAAACCATTTCGCGACCAGTTCGGGATCATTTCGGGACCTGTTCAAAAATGTTTCGGGACCGTTTCGAAGCTATTTCGGGACTAATTCAAATCTATTGCATTATCATTTCGGAACTAATTAGGGAACATTTGAGACTTGTTCAGAACTCTTTCGAACCTAGTTCCGGACCATTTCGGGACTGCTTCAGAAACGTTTCGGTATTAGTTCGAGATCATTTTGGGTCTAAGTAGTAAAGGACCATTTCCAAATTTCAAAATTGCTCGAAATTCATTCGTGATAAGTTCACAATTTTCTCAAAACCACTTCAGAACAATTTTGGGTTTAGTTATTTCGGGGTAGTTCGAAATTAGTCACGACATGATCCTGAAATTCACCTGACCTATTCCCGAAGTGGTTATGGAAATGTCATGTAATGTTCAATTTGTAACCTAATATATTTCTGTATGTAACTGAATCGCCTAATGCTTTGCCTAGCCGTGGAAAGCATCACAACATCAAATTCCACAACACGCCTCCGACTGTATTTGTGCCATAAAAAGCAATCAGCTGTTCAGAGGCGGCGTAAAGTTCTAGTCCCTTAAGAACATCAAGATCCATACTACAAATCGTAGGAGAAGCTTCGCCAAGCACTTAGTAAATGTGTGATGTGCCACGACTTTTTTTTATAAAATTGTATTAAGTAGAAGAAGTATCGCACAAGGATGTATTGTACAGGAGTTGATACATCCTTGCAGTATATTCATATGTACTTACGTACAAAAATAGTTCCAATGTACAGTATGTAGTTTAAGCATTGAGCTGCCAGCGAGCGCTGTAAAGTTATAATTTTCTGAGTTATTGCAAAAATATGAACACAATCATAACTTCATCGCCACTCAGCGCCTCGCTACTCTCCTCAATTTCTTCAATTACTCCATTTCTCAATTTCTTTCCACTCATACTTCTCATCACAAAATCCAAACATCTCTACATACATGCATAGCTACAAAAACAAATGTACATATCTCGCTTCTTAAAACACATTGTATGTATTCCATTCGTTATGCTGCTTGTAAATGCCCCATAAATCCTTTTATGATCCATTTTATCGCCTTTTAAGCAGCCTCTTGTGGCACACTCCCGCTCAATTATGCAGCTATATGTATTTGCTGGCCGGGCCAAGTGCACCTACTTACAGCATTAATGCTCTTTTTAATGGTCTGAACTATAATGGCCATCCATAAATGCGCTTGCGAATCGAGCGGCTGGCTGGTCGAATTTCATTTTTCCTTTGGCACTACACGTCATACATATCTACTTTTTGAAAAGTAAAAAATAAATATTTTTGTAATTTTTTTATTGCCATATTACTGGTTAAAGATTTGCAACTCAATGTGTATTTGTATTTTAAAAACTTTTCTTAAAACATTAATTTTTTGTATATTTTTTTCTCTACTCTGGTTTATTCTTTTCAGTTTGGGCCGAGACTGGCGATTTTCGTGATAGTCATAGTTCAATGACCGCTGTAGCAAATAGTTTGGATAGTACACATTTAAATAATTTTCAAGCATCATCATCGTCAGCGTTGTCGAATCGAAATCGGGATCGCAAGGATGGTAAGTTTACAGTGTCTGAAACTTTTGTACTACTTATGTATGTAAGTACATAAATCTGTGGCATTTTGATAAAACAACTTAATCGTTTCACATAAAATAGAAAATTTCAAGTACATTTGTGAAAAATATGGATGTCAAACTTGTTCCATTAAAAAACTCTACTTTTGTCAAGCTTCTATTATATCTAGCTAAGACCAGTTTTAGATAAAATAGTTAATGCCATTTAACTTTAATATTGAGTACTTTCGTTGGTTTTCAGACTATCTCTTTTTAATTCAATCACTTCTGTACTCCAAATTAGTCGTTTTTCGAAAGCTAGGAGTGCCAGTTACTGTCGAAATTCGACTGTTCTTAAGAGTCTATCTTCTTCTTAAGAGATTTCTTCAAACTTAGCACGTTCTTTAACTTATAAAGTACAAAATTACTTACCGGAAAATCTCTTGCATTGGAAATAAAACGTGACTACCAGATTTTATAAAATTGAAGGACTTTGGCCGAACTTGAAATTGACTCGATGAATTTCAAAAACACTAAAATCCGATAACTTAATTAAGCTCGTTAACTCAATTAAACTCGATAACTCTAAGAATTCCGATAACTATCGATAACTGTGCTTTTCGAGGACTGGATTAATCTTGGTAACTCAGAAACATACATACATCGATATAAGTTGGGTTATCGATAACTCAATAAACTCTATAAATTTCGATAACCCGGTTAATATTCATATTTCGATATTTATCGACGAATTTCGATAACTCGTTACACTCTGGTAACTCGATAAACCCATAAAAATTTAAAACTCGTTTTACTTATACATATATCTTTAGAAGTTTCGATAACTCAATATATGTACTTCGAAAATTCCAGGAGCTTCAATTCGATAAATCGGCAAATTTCGATAAATCAATAATTATCGATTACTCT